CCGCCCTCTTAAATAGCCACATGCACAGCAAAAAAATGGACTAGGGGGAAAAATCTGCCTACTGGCATAGAGCAACTTTAAGGAAATATGTCTCAGCCTTGAATGGAGGAAGGACAAAAACTCAGAAATGTCTTCTGAGAACTTCTGAGTGGTCTGACTTTGACATTTCCATCAGTTGTGTGATGGGGAACCTCCGAGACAATACATTTACATAAAATTAGTCCCCGTCAGGTGATATTATGGGATGTTTGATAGAAGATTCAAGAAGCACATGAATAAAATGCAAAATCTATACACAGAGATTCATGAAACAACACAATACTAAAGATTAAGGGGGAAAAAATCTTACAACTAACAAGAGGATTACCTTTGAAAGTATGGCAAATACATTGGATTATCAGATACACGGAACATCAGATTACCTTTGAAAGTATGGCAAATACATTGACAGCAGGCTTTCCATACAACAGTAGAAGCCAGAGGCAGTACTAGAATATCTGAGAAATAAATGTAAAATGTCCAAAAAATAAAGGCTGAGAAAATAGTTAATGTCATCTTAAAATTCTATACTCAGCTAAACTATCATTCAAAAATGATAAAGTAAAAAAAAAATGTATTTATTCAAATAGAAACTAATAGTTTTACCGGTCCCCTCTCTGATGATGCTGGTAGAAGGAAAAAATGAAATGTACAGAGAAATAGGAAGTTAAGATACTGGTAAGTAAACACTCGCATGAAAAACAGTAATGACTAATTGAGGACATGAGAATGTTGTGAACAGTAGTGGCGTGAGATGAACGAAGGAGGATCACTGTCAAAACACTCTAAGGCCCTTATATAGTTGGGAAAGGGGAAGTATTCTTTCAAGTTGAAAGTTTGAAGAATAACCTACACACCAAAGGAAATAGCTTCTAAAACTGGGAAGAAAAGGAGAAATAAAAAGGGGAAAGGGGGGGGGGGGAACACAATAAAGGATGTGAGGTAATAGAAAAAAAATATATATATATATTGGTCTCTGCTCCCAGTTACTGCCACTGAGCTCCTGACACCCTTGTCATTTCCTGGGTGATAGGACTGTCTTTTGTCTTTTGTTCTAAGACCAAGCTATGGGGTGAAAGTCTTCTGGTAACTTTAAACTTGAATTATTTTGTGACCTCCCTCTTTATTTCTAATAAGACAATACTAGAGTCTTTTGCCTTAAAGTCTGTTCAAGCTGCTATAACAAAAATACCACAAACTTAGTGGCTTAAAAACAACAGAAATGTATTCTCCCAGTTTTAGAGGCTGGGAAATTCAAGATCAAGGTGCTGGCAGATTTGGTGTCTGGTGGTGCGGGTCTAGTTCCTGGTTCATAGATGGTTGTCTTCTTGCTGTGTCCTCATAGGGTGGATAGGAGCAAAGGATCTCAGTGGGATCCCTTTTATAAGGACACTAACTCCATTCATAAGGACTCCACCCTCATGACCTCATCACCTCCCAAAGCCCCTACCACAAATACCATCACATTAGAAATTAGGTTTCAACATACGAACTTTGGGGGATGTGCTCATTCTGTCCACAGCAAAGTCAAATATCAATGAGTCTTACCTTGCTTTGTATCTGATGTATATCTTTCCTCTTTTTTATTCTCAACCTTCCTACCCCTTAGGTATTAGGTGAGACTCGTGTAAATAGCATAAAGCTTCTTAATTTTTATTTAGTGAGTATCTTGGGAGTTTAATCCATTTACATTCTGGTTTAACAGGTATGTTCTTTTAGCACTTTAAAGACAGTGTTGCAACTTTCTTTTGCCCTTCATCATTTCTGCACTATTTAGAATAGTGACTCCCCCCGCAATGTGCCCTGTTCTCTCAACCCTCGGAAAATGTTACATTGCATTGCAAAAGGGGTTTTTCTGGCTGGAGGCAGGGAGATGAGACAGAAGTTAAAGTTAAAGATTTAAAGCAAGAGTGGGACTTGACCCACCGGAGCTGACTTTGCAGAAGGAGGAAGGGGCTGAGTGAGGCCTGCAGCCAGCCGCTGACAGCTCCGGATGGCCTTAGTCCTGCAACAACGTGGAACTGGAGTAGGCCGACAGCTTGAGTAAGGTTGGACGCAGATTCATCCCTAGGACCTCCAGCCTTGCTGACCACCGATTTTGTCCTGCTGGGCTCTAGACAGGGCCCAGCTGAGCTGCTCTCTACCTGGACTTCTGGACTATGTAACTTAGAGATAATAAATGAGTGTTGTTAAGCCTCTAACTTAATTTAAGTAAGGTAATTTGTTATGACAGCAATAGAACGCGAATACAGTTCTGATGAGAAATCAGCTGTGAGTTGGATTGATTGCTCTCCAGTATGTTTAATACATTGTTTTTCTTTAACACCTTTTATCTTTGGCTTTCAGCTGGGAGGATGCGGAGCAACAGGAACTCTCATTCGTCGCTGGTGGGAATGCAAAACGGTGCAGCTGCCTTGGAAGACACGGTGTTCTCTTACAAAATTAGTATTAGTTTATTTTAAAAACTTTTTTCTTTATTGATTTTTAGAGAGAGATAGAAACATCGACGAGAGAGAACATCGACTGGCTGACTCCTGCTCGCCCACCACTAGGAATCGGGCCCACAACCTGGGCATGTGCCCTGACCGGGAATTGAACCAACACTCAACCACTGACCAACACCGGCCGGGCAACAAAGTTAAACATACTCTTACCTATGTTTCAACAATCTTTTTTTTTTGTTAGTTACACAGGAGTTGAAAACTTATGTCCACACACACACACACACACACACACACACAAACTGTACATGGATTTTTTTTTTTTTATCCTCACCCGAGGCTATTTTTCCATTTTTTGTACAGATAGAGTGGGAGGGAGAGAGAGGAAGGGAGAGAGAGAGAGAAACATCGACGTGAAGGGACACATCAAATGGCTGCCACCCGCACGACCAACCAGGGCCGGGGACAAACTGCAACCGAAGTATGTGCCCTTAGCGGGAACCGAACCCGGTCTCTCTGGACTGCAGGCCGACGCTCTAACCGCTGAGCCAAACCGGCCAGGGCTGTACATGGATGTTTATAGAAACTTTATTCATAGTTGCCCAAAGTTGAAAGCAACAAAGATGTCCTTAAGTAGGTGAATGGAAAAACAGTGGTCCATCCAGAAAATGGAATATTACTGAGCACTAAAAAAAAGCCATGAAAAGATGTGGAAGAATCTTAAATGCACATTACTAAGTGAAAGAAGCCAGTCTGAGGAGGCTACCTGCCGTATGATTCCTACTGTATTACATTCTGGAAAGGGCAAAACTATGGAGACAGTAAAAAGATCAGTGGTTGCCAGGAGTTGAGGGGAAGGAAGGATGAATCAGCAAAACAGAGTACTTTTAGGGCAGTGAAAATACTTCATATGATAACAAAACAATGGATACATGTCATTACACAATTGTACAAACCCATAGTATGGACTCATTACACAATTGTACAAACCCATAGTGTGGACTCATTACACAATTGTACAAACCCATAGTATGGACAACACCAGGAGTGAACCCTAATGACTTTGGATGATAATGATGTGTCAATGTAGGTCCACAGATTCTAACAAAGGCACCACTTTGGTGTGGACGTAGATCGTGGGGGAGGCTGTGCAGGGCAGGGGCATTTGGGAAATCTCTATACTCTCCTTCAATTTTGCTCTGAAGTTAAAATGGCTCTAAGAATAAAATTTATTAATCAAAAAACCCCATTATTGAACTCAATGCATGTATCCATTAATTCCCTCCTCGGTGCTCACTCATTTCACCTCGGCATCTCCTCCGTATCCCCAGTGCACACCTCATCTGCAGGGTGAGGACCATGTTTTGAGCCAAGTATGTAAACTATTTCCTGAATAAGTACCGTGGCGAATGAAAGGGAATTGTAATCTAGGACATTCCCATTAAGGCAGGGCTGGGAAAGCTATGGAGAGGAAGGAGGAAGCCCTAGCCGCCAGGAAGGGGTGGATCTATTTATTTCCTTGGTGAGACCAGTGTGGGGGCTTCACTGGAAAGCGTCAGGCTTGTCTTGCCCCGCTGCAAACGCTTTGGGAATGACCCCCCAAACCTGGTGGCTGGTAGGTGACTATTGAGGCTGTGGATTGCATGGACACCTTCAAAGGTCAAGTGCAGTTATTTTTAAAAGCTGGAGGGGGGATGTGTGTCAAACAGGCTGGGGTGTCCGCAGGGAGAAGTCGCGGGTTGGTGGCTGAAGGCCTTCGGACCTGCACGGCTGGTGTGGTTCTGGAAGCAAGGCTGTGCCTACTTTCGAACTGTTCAGTCCGTGACATTAGAAAACGACATGAAAACTCCCGGGGGCATCTTCATCATTTCAAGCCTGGGGGGCGGGGGGCCTCCTCACTCCTGATGGGCCCGGGAAGCCGGCAGGGGCTGTACCCAAGTTGAGGACAAGCACTTGGCATTTGAAGGACAGCGTTCAAGAAGTCTCAAGACAGAAGTAGCTGTTGGGGATAATTATCAAAATTATGGATAATAAAAAAAATTAAAAAACTAAACAACAACCACCTCCTTTTCAGGATGAGGGGTGGAGGTGGGGAGAGCCGGGAGTAATTTGGTCGATAAATAGTGCCATCCCTGCCGCGCTGGGACGGTCTTGATTTTTTCACCTGTCATCTCCCAGGCCGATGGGTTGGGTGCCCACCGAGCCCGGTCCCCAGGTAAGGACACGGGGCACACGGCGCTGGTGGGCTCCAGCGAGGAAATGCAGAGCCCAGGCCCCAAGGTTTCTCTGTGGTCCCTGTCTCTCAGGGCGCAGGCGGTGGACCCCGGCTCCCCGCACGGGGGCGCTGTCGGCACGCGTCCCGGGAGCCTGGGCGGACGCCGGGCGTCCCCAGGCCGGGCGGCAGGGGCGGGATGGGGACTGCTCGCGGGAGGGCGGGGAGCCGCACACGTGGCGGAGCGGGATCGCGCGCCCTCGGCGACACGCGGGGCCGCGGGGCAGGGTCGCTGCCCGGGCCGCGCGATGGCGGGGCGGCCGTGGGGCGCGCCGGGCGGGCCCTGGAGGGGCAACAGCAGCGCCCTGCTCAACGCCTCCCAGCAGGTGCCTGGCGGCGGGCCGGCGGGCGCGCGACCCCCCTGGCTGGCCTCCACGCTGGCCTCCGTCCTCGTCTTCACCATCGTGGTGGACCTCCTGGGCAACCTCCTGGTCATCCTGGCCGTGTGTCGGAACAAGAAGCTGAGGAACACAGGTAGGGGCTCCCGGGGCCGGGCAGCCCCAACTCTCACCCGACGGCCGCCCTCGTCTTCCTGGCCACCTGCCCGGCGCGCAGCACCCTGGCTCTCGATGGGTCTCCCTCAGAAAAGTTCAATTCGTTCCTTTCCCTTAAAACCTGGGCACTTTGACTCATTGTTCCTAATAGAGACCGAAGCCCATTCATTTACTCCCCTTTAACCTGCCTATCAAAAATGTTTTCCCATAAAACAGTAAGAAGTCTTCAACCCTAAAGGGTAGAAAACTTGGGCGGATCTGCTTCTCTTTATTTTAGAGAAAAACCCCACTGTATAGTTTTCCATTTCTGAGGCTTATGAAAGAAATTGAGAGAGACTCAGTACTGGTGGCAGGGAGTTCCTCAAGAAGCCCTTCCCAATGCCCTCAGCAAACTACCGATTGCTTGGCTTTACATATAATTTGATTCCCAACTTTGTTAAAATATGAGAAAAATAAGTTGGCAAAATAATAGTGCAATCATTTTAGTTTTATTGTCAGGAGTAGTCTTCAGTTTTTTAGCGTGCAATCTCAACAGGCTCCTAAACGTGCTGGGGAAAGTAACCATTATGCCTCCAAGTTCAAGGAGTTTACACTTTAAAAATAGAAATTGTTGTAATAAAGAGTATATTTCCATATAATATGCTATTAAAGCTGATTTGGTACTTGGATTACACTTGCTTTTTCCTCCAGGCCACGCACTGAGACTGGTTTATCCTGGGTGGGACCCTGTGGATGGTCCAAGGACAGGTGGCCAGACCTCCACCTGATCATCAGATGCCTGCTCTTTACTGGAGGCAAACTCTATGGAGGAGTGGATGGGGAGGAGAAGGAACCTTGCACTTACATGTTTGTCAAAAGCAATATTTTTGTTCTAAGCAGTTGATCAATGCTGTGATTTTGTTTAACTCCTTTCTGGGAGGGACCCCCCCCCCCTTTTTTCCCCCTACATTGTTTTAGGCAGTGCATAGTTTAAGAATTAGTTAACAAGCAACTTATATCATGATTTGGAGTGAGTCCAGTGAATAAATTCACTTCCCAGGTGATTGGCTTAAACTAGAGGAATTCTGCCTTTAGGAAGAGGTTCCCAGGAAGGTGGTAAGCTCCTTGACATAGGTCTTGGTGATGATGTTTTAAATCTGACATCAAAAGAAAAATAAATAAGTAGAACTACATCAAACTAAAAAGCTTGTGCACAGCAAAGGAAACCAGCAACAAAATGAAAAGGCAACTTACTGAATGGGAGAAAATATTTGCAAATTATGTATCTGATAAGAGATTAATATCCAAAACATATAAAGAACATATATAACTAAATAGCAAAACCAACCAACCAAACAAAAAACCCACAATCGCGTTTACAAATGAGGAGACGAGTCCTGGCTGGTGTGGCTTACTTGGTTGGGCACCGTCCCATGCACTGAGAGGTCCCTTGTTCAACTCCTGGTCAGGCAGGGCACATCCGGGGTTTGGGGCTGGATCCCCAGTAGGAGGTGTGCAAGTGCAGAAGGTTGCCAATCGATGTTTCTATCTCCCTCTGCCTTCCTCTCTCTCCAAAAATCAATAAAAACATCTTTTTATAAGTGGGCAGAAGATCTGAATAGACATTTTCCCGAAGAAGACACACAGATGGTCAACAGGTGCATGAAAAGATCCTCTGCATCATTAATAATCAGGGAAATGCTAGTCAAAACCACAATGAAACGTTACCTCACACCTGTTAGGAATGGCTATTATTAAAAAGACAAAAAATGGCAAGTGTTAGTGAGGTTGTGGAGAAAAGAGTACACTTGTGCCCTGTTAGTAGGGATATAAATTGGTTTGACTCATATGGAAAACAGTAAGGAGGTTCCTTAGGACAAAAAATAGAACTACCCTACCACCCAGCAATTCCAATTCTGGATATTTATCTGAAGAAAATGAAAGCACTAACTTAAAAAGATAGCTCACCCTCATGTTTATTGCAACATTATTTCCAATAGCCGAGATATGAAAACAACCTAAATGTTCATTGATGGATGAATGGATAAAGAAATTATGATATATATACTTTGGAATATTACTCAGCCATAAAAAGGATGAAATCTTGTCATTTATGGCAACATGGATGGACCATGAGGATAGCATACTAAGTGAAATAAATCAGAGAAAGGCAAATACCATCTATCATTTCTCTTATATGTGGAATCTATAAATAAATGAATACAAGCTCATCGATATAGAGAATAGAGTCATGGCTGCCAGAGGCGGGGGTTAGGAGTGGGGAGATTGGAGGATGGGAGAAATGGGTGAATTAGTGGTGGTGTTTTGTTAATTTAAATAAATTGAGGAGGAGGAGGAGGAGGTGGAGGAGGAGGAGGAGAAAAAGGAAAAGAAGGAGAAGGAGAAAAAGGAGAAGGAGAAAGAGAAGGAGGAGAAGAAGAAGGAGAAGGAGAGGAAGAGGAAGAGGAAGAGGGAAGAAGGGAGAAGGGAGAAGACCCAGTGCTACAAGTGCGGTATGAGAATTCTCCATCTCGTCCCCAGGCGCAAAGCTGTGGGAGAAATCTGCTTTCTCACCATGGTGATGCCCATGATCTCCTCGCCCCTGTATCTCTGGGTTCTGGAGTGCTCACCCTGGTTATATATTAATCTGCTTTGCACTCTCCTTGTTGCATTATTGATTGTTTTGATTCCATAAATTAGGGTTCAATAACAGGACTTTGGCTTCCAGTGCATTCCTTTGTTCCCTCAAAAGGAAAAAAGAAAGAGAAGAAAGAAGTTTGGAGAGCCATGTTAACTGGATCCTCAGGGCAGCCCTGTGGTGGGGTGCCACCGGCACCCGCTTTACAGAGGAGAAGCCAGGACACAGATTGGTGGTGCAGGGTTTACTTCACAGAGCTCGGCCCTGAGCTCACTCCGTTTAGTTGCTATGAAGAGCACTTGGGAAGTTTGCATCCTATAGAAACTTTTATTAAAAAAAATATTTGTGTGCTTGGAAAAATTCTACTTCTTCTGGTTTATGCAAAAGAACTTATAAAAAGTGCTCCTTCCCCACTGCTTTGTATTTTATTTATTTGCTCAGCAATTTTTTTAATCCTCACCTGAGGACATGTTTAATGATTTGAGGGAGTGGGGATGGGGGGAGAAAGAGAGATAGAGAAACTTGGATTGGTCACCTCCTGTACACACACTGAACCTGAACCCACAACCTAGGAATGTGCCCTGACCGGGAATGGAACCTATAACCTTTTGGTGTACAGGATGATGCTCCAACTAATTGAGCCACCCAACCAGAGCTGCTAAGTGATTTTTGCTAGGGCATTTTATAAAATACTACATCCCTGTAGTTGACTGGGAGACCCACAGTGAGCCTTAACTTGTGAAGCTTTTGAACTTGGCTATTTTACAATTGGGATTTTGTATTCGGATGTACCACTGTTGGAATTCAAACCACTAGAGGCTTGGATGGGTGGTAATTTCAAACAGTGACAGAGAGAGTGGATTCAAATACTGTATGAGTTTTGGGATGCTTTTTCTAAGTTCTTATAACTGTTCAGTACTTCCATTAAATTAAATTAATTTTATTAAAGATGGAAAGAAGAGAATGGAAGAAATGAGATAAGAAAATATGAATCCTAAGTTTTGAACTAGTACTTCCTTTTGGAAATCTGGTATAATTGTGGGTTATTTATGCCTCTGTCCTCCCTCAAGGGAGCCTGTTGGCATTTGATTTTCCAGGGAAGAAAGTTAAAATACTTAACAGGCGTGCGTGTATGTCAGGGACACTGTTCGAACAGATACAGGCTCCAGACAACCACCAGAGTCTTAGGTGCTGGCACAGTGCCTGCTCTGCTTCTTTCCAAAATCTGATACTTGAATCGATGCTATCAAAATCGATGCTATGTTTGTATCTACTGAGTAACTCTCATGGTATAATGGGAACATTCCTGCTCTGAACCACTAGGATTAATATCCTTGCTGCCCATTTTATGATCTGAGAAAGCCTCAGTTTCCACATTTGATAATACAAAAATATCTAATAATCCTTTAGCCCCACGCAATTGTTGCAGTTACCTAATGATTCCAGGGATGCATATAGAAAAGGATACTTTGCATAGAGGATACATATGGAAAAGGATACTTTGCACAGTTTGCATGTGGAAATTGATGCATACTTTGAAAATGATAAAGCAGGTCATGGTATGTGTTCTTTTTTACTAGGTACACCTAGCAAGGATGTATTGCATTGTTTAAAATAACTGAACTGTAGACTTATGATTTGTGCACTTTTCTATATGTACATCATCATACTTTAAAACTTTTACTAAAAGTAGAGAAGGAGTATAGTAATAACTTTCTTATTCAAAATTCAATTACTTGGTAATCTAACTTATCTACAATATGGCCAATAAATGGAAATAACAAAAAATAATAATAACAGCAGGCTTTCATCTATAGTTTATTTGTTCTGCCTTCGAGTTCCACAAAGCTGTGAGGCTAGTGCCTGGGACCCCAGATTACAAGCAGTCAATGAGGAGGAAGACTGATGCATTTAAAGAAACAGCACATATGCCAAACAACAAGAATTGAAATAAATTCGTCAAAGCAGATCTGAAAAACTGAACAAGCACAACCTTTTGTGGTCACATAATGAAGAAGCAAAAAGCCTGCCCGCCGTTACTTGCTCCTGAAAACTGCACAGTACAAAATTGTGTTTATTAAATATGACCCTTAGCCATCAAGGAATGGTCCAGTCACATACAGTGTGTTCTGCCTAAGAAGACAGGGACATCATATTTTAGAAAGTCACCTATTGAAAGTGGCTTATTATTATTTTTTAAATTTGGTGCACAGTGGGCTAAACTGTCTGAGTTTGAACTTTGGATGCACCAGGGCTGTTTCTAAGATGCTTCTCAGGCATGCTTACTCTAAAAATATTTTTAAGCGAAGGCATAAGATACACACAGTTAAGTGCACAAGAAGTAAGGGTACAGCTGGATGTGA